GAATTTGAGGGAGATTTAGGTAAGGGAAATAAGACAATTTCGATACAGAAATGTCCTTGTTTTTAGGTTTGGGACGAAGAGTTTCTCTTAGGGATCTCAGTTCTCGAACCCATTTGGGATAAGTTAAAGGTTTGACAATCCCAAAAGGTGTTGTAGGAAAAGTGGGAAGGTGATCGGGACAATACATTTCAAATGGGGTTTTATCTCGAGGATTAATTATTTTGTGATTCGATCGGTTAGTGTCTGTCTTATTGGCTAAAGAAATAACAGCGTCATAAAAGGTCGATTCTAACTTTAAAGGGTTGTAACAAACTCGATAAAAATTCTCGAATCGAGATATTTGAAGATAGTGGGAGTGTGTACCTTTCTTCGCCTTTGATTTGTCCTACAACACAAGAGAAGGATGAGCAGTCAATTTTTGTCGGACTTCGTCAAAATCAGAATGATTACTCGAGAACCAATCGACCCACCATTGAGAGAAACCCAGGGTTGATAAATAATTAGACTAAAAAACATAAGGATAAAAATGCATCAGGGTTTTTGGTAGCAGTTTGGTGAGCTCCCGTCCAATTGTCGATTCACTTAACTTGGACTTTAGGGAGGTATCGAGGGGGAAAAAAGGTAAGGCTTGACTCAAACCAAACTGCCTCGAGAAAAGTTGGGGGTAATAGGTGACAAGCTTAAGATCCTTTGAGTGAAAACCCGATACTAATACATCTTGAGTCAAATAATTGCTCCATACTTCAACCAATTCTGACTGTAGTCCTGGAGTAAGAGCAGGAAATTTCGATTTAAACCACGCTGGTCCTCGAAGTTGGTCACTTATTCGTCCAAGATTCACAGTAAAAGGAGCCAAGTGCGGACCAAAATGAAATTGAGTTAACAAAAATCTAAGGTAATTACAATAGGTGGTCTCGTCGGATTTATGGCGGGGATGACGAGCAGATAATCGAGCACCCTCTAAATTTAAACTTGGGGGTATCTGGGAAGTTGGGGGGAGGATACTCTCAAAAATCGAGTTTAGCCATAATTGGATAAACCAAATGGGGCCTGAAAAATTCCCCGAAGCTCTGGGGGTATTCAAAATCTCGACAGCCTCATCTAAAGCAGTATATACATGGGCTAATAAAAGTTTGGCTAAACAAATTTTAGGCTGGCCGGTGTGAAGGAGATAGGCAAGGTTATACAGGTGGGATGAAATTTGGATGGATCGGGGGCAGAAGACGTGAGTGCACAACCAGTATACCAAGAAAGCAACGTGCTCCTCATCGAAACGTAAGCTGTTGGATCATCGATAAAATGCTTCTCGAGAAAATGACCATAGGCTTTCGATTCCCAATCGATTTTTGACCTTAGAGAATTATCTCGAAGGAAAAGCACCCTTATAGTACTTCTCCCCTGTGGGCTTCAAACCAGGTAATTGCAGCGACTTCGAAAAGGGTGGGCGAAAGGGGACCACAAGGGAGTTCTAACGCATGCAGGTCCTTATTCCACAAATGTACAGCAGACAGAAACATAGCCATATCCAAAAATGACAAATCGCATCGAGATAAATGCAAAAAATCGAAAATCCCCACGTCTCTCCAATGGTTCCCAAACTTAGTCTTAACCCTATCAAACCACCTAATGTACAAGGGTTTTTTGGAGGGGGGGCCCGTTCAGTACACTTTAGATACAGCATTCAGAAAGTCTATCCGAACTTCAGATTGATGAATGGGAGCCTGGCTCTTTGGAGAAAGATTGAGGGAAGAAAAAGTTCCGCCACAAGAACGAATAGGACCCCCAAAAGCATAAGTTATATTATCAGCAATATAAGGGATGAGTACCTGCGTCTCAGCGACTTTCTGAGAAGCTTCCTCCATTAGAGGAACCAGAGCAAATTTCTTGTTGTTGATCTCCAGCAGGTTAGAGGCCAACGAGGGAAGTGGTGGGGCTAAAAAATCAGAAGATTTGGAAGAGGTTGTCATTTCAGGAGAGTAGAGGAAAACAGAGGATAGAAGGTGAGGGTGCAAGGTTGAGGACAAAGAGGCAAGGTAGAAGATGAAGTTGCAAAAGAGGAGTAAAAGTTCGCGTAAAAAACCAGGGTAAAGGACCAACAAAGTGTTTAAAGGAAAACTATCTAGGGTACTGGAAACGACGGAGGCGAAGGGCAATTAATGTGGCGTGTACAGTAAGGCAGCAGACTGATGTGATGGTGACATAAAACCCTAAAACCTAAGTTATTGTGGGCCTCCAACACGCGAAGGCGGGAATCATGTTGAAAGAATATAAACATAAACTATTTATATTCTTCCAAGGGGGCATTTTGTTAGTGAGAAATCGATAAAGGGATCGAAAACCATTTTGATTGAGTTAAAAACTGATAAATCGAAATATAGTTGGAAAATACGCTCGACGACCATGTGACAATATGACCGAGAATTAGAATCAAGAAATCGAAGGAAGAATGTTTTTCGAGAAATTAAAATTTTGTAATGTTAAAGTTAAGGAAAACCAAGAGCAATTCAAAGTTCTCGAGATCAAGAGATCAAAATCAAGAGGAAGGCTAACCTGCGTGGATATCGAAAACCCGGCTAGGTCATAAAGAGGGGAACAGTTAAACGTGCACATAGGAAACAGTTTCTAAACCGTGGCAGAGGTCGAAGATCATGGGAACGTGGGTGCAGTTTTGATACCGAAGAAGAAACTACAACATGCACGTAGGACGTGGTGGCAGTTTTCGTTAACTGTTCCTAAGAGGTTACTTGCTTAAAGGATTCCCTATAAATAGAGTGAAGAATGAAGGAAGGAGGGGGAATTGGCAGAGAGAACAGAAATATTAGTGAGAAGTCTACCGGAGAACGACGCAATCATGAAGTTTCTGGCGATCTGGATTTCCATTTTCATTGACTGCCTTTATCGCTTTCTTTACTTTCCCTGGTAATTTATGTTCATGCAATTTACTTTTATGCAGTTTACGTTCAAGCAACTTTAAGTTTCTGTACTTTCGATTACTTGTCATTTACCTTAATGCAATTTAAGTTATGCAATCTCGATTTCCTGCTATTTACATTTATGCAATCTCGATTCCCTGCTATTTACATTCCCGCAATTTCGATTATTTGTCGTTTACACTTAATCCAAATTTGAGGTTTCCGTATTTTACGTTTCTTCGCAGCTTTATATTTTGTACTCGCTCTTCGATTTGACATTTCATCGCTTTCTTTACTTCGAGTGCCTTAAATACAAAATATCAAAAAACAACATTTTCGATTGTTAATCTGCACATTAGGTTGCGTTGTTAGTATTTTCAAACATCATGATTTTCGATTCTCATACACATTTCGATTGAAAATCGTTTGCTAGCCTAAGTAAAAAGAATCTACGTGGTTGGAATTTGGTTAGAACAAAATCCTTTAAAAATCGAAATCGATCAAAATTCCACAAGAAACACCTATACAATGATGAGTATTAAATAATTGTCATCAAAATGTCATTATATGATTTTTATGACAATTCCAATATAATTATTGTCAATCATCATCTTTCTTATTTCTTATTTTTACACTAGTGTGATTAAAAAATTTATTTACTAAATATAAAATCATTTCATGAATAACTTAAAGAGTCAATATTGACAAAGACAAAATATAAATAAATATTTTTAAAAATCAAATATAAAATTTATAAATATTTTAGAATTAAAATTCAACATGGAAATTTACGGGACTAAATATAAAATTTATAAACTTTTCAAGACTAAATACGTATTTTATAAGAAAAACAAACAACATGACAAAAAAAAATTTAAATAAATGATGTAACGGAAAAGAAAAAGAAGAATATGCAGACAAAATGAGGTGGAAGTAAAAAGAAAATGAGATGTATAGATATAGTCATTGATTGTAATATATTTGTATTAGGAGGTACTGTAAATTAGATTATACACTGGCATCATAAAACTAGAAATACATACATAACATAATTATGGTTTAAATCCTAAATTTATACCATCACTAAAGAAAGTATTATTAAGCATGTATATAAGTAAATTGTAGGTTTGATATTGAGACTGTTACATGATACGTAGCGTCACTTTACGAATGTTACATGCATCGAAATAAACGAACGGCTACTTCAAAAGTGTGAAGACTAAAGCCATGGCAATGACGCGATATTTTTGCTTTCGGCCCTCGCTTTCCCTTTCTCCACACCTCATTTTCTAAGCTTTGATTTTTCTCTTTACAATGGAGTGTAATGTAACTTAGCAGCAAGCACAAAATCTGTTGGTTATATATTTCCTTCCTGCAGTATCCAAGTAAAGGAGAAAGTGTGTGTGTGTGTGTGGTATTTAGAGAGAGAGACCAACGTTTTCAACCAAACTACACTGCTACCCTTCTTAAAAAGTAGCAAAGCAGAATAAAAAATTAAAAAAGCCATGCATCTGATTCGCCAAGAGACAAGAACCCAGACGGAAATTAAAAAATAAAAGAAAGCGAAAGGTTAATTTTAAAAGCAGTAGCAAAATCCCAATGGGAATCTTTCTTCGTCTTCAACTGTTCAAGGTGATCCCACGTTACGACCTCTCTCTCTCTCTCACACACACACTCTTTCATCCTGCTCTATTACTCCTTTTTATGCTGTCTTTTTCTTTTGCTATCTTTTCCTCTTTCTCTCGCTCTCACAGACACAGACACAAACACACACAACAGACAGAAATACCAACATTTTCTCAGCTCCTGGCATGAGCTCATATGTTGATGGGATTTTCATGCGGGGATCATTTTGTAAGTGCTCTTAAACCTCCTTTCTCTCTCTAACCTACTCACTCATAAAATGGGTAATTGGAGAATGTGTTAGTGGTCAAGAATCTTTGCTGTTTTTTCCTTTCTTCCTCCATATTCTTGTGACATTCAGCATATGGTGCTTATGCAAAACAATTTTGTAAATATTAGGACCTAAAAGAGAGCGATTTTCGCTTGATAGATGAAACTAGTGCACAACAACAAAACAGTATCATCATGGAAGTACATCATCTTCACGGGGTCGATAAAAGCACTGATTTCTTCCCAGTTGAGCACCCTATGGAGCCACCAGATGAAGATCGTCCCGTGAAATGCCCAATGCCTGAGTCTTCCGTTATTAATGTAAGCACATATTTACATACATACATATTGTACTTTAATTATGTACTTATCATATGATGGCATGACAAACAGGATTTTTGCATGGTAAGGGAAAACAATACAGCTTCGTTTTTATGTTTGTTTTATGCCCATGCCCATGACATATATGTGTTGATTCCTTATTTCTGCATTTGTCTTATAGTTGTGTTCTCATAATCATCTCTTGCTAGCAAAGGGACCGACAAGTAAAGTTTCTGGGATGTACTTTTTAATATCCGTATATATCACAAGAATTTTGATATACTAAACATAAATATTTTTTACCTGCAATATTTGAAAGACGTCTATACTGGACTAGGGGTACACCCTTCAGAGCTTCCCTTTCTAGTTCTGAATTGCAGCATACAGATATGGAGAATGTCTTTTTAGGGTTTAGTACGGCGTAGACAATCTCTCTAAGAACATGAAGTTAGAAGCTTTTAAAAGTAAATAATTCTATATCTTGATTGAACCTCAGTACTATACAGATATTTCTCATAATCTTTCATCTAGTTTGCTGTTTCCTTTGAAGAAAATATTTAAAGGAAGAAGAAGAAAAATCTGATACACCATATGGCATAATATTCGTGAAAGATATTTGATCTTTATTAAATGACTTTCCATTTTCCTATTATAAGCCAGTATTAAATGAAAATATTACATTTTATATCTTAAATATATAAAAATAAACATTTAATATTTTCTTCATTTAGTAAATTGATTTTTTAGGAAGATCATATAAAAATAATCAGAATTATTATTCAAACAATAAATAATTGAAGCTAATGGAAGTGAATATAGTCTGATCCAACAAATGTTGCACAACTAATCACTGGTTTCTCTGGAAAAGGTTAAAAAAGGCAGAGAATTTTATTTTTAATGTTTGGTTTCACTGATTGTTCCAAAGGCCCCCAGGAAACGCAGTGTAATAAGAGTATTTCCATGCATTTTGAAGTTCACTATGAAGTTGAGGAAAGAAACTGACATCTACGTGGCTTTTGTAGGATGAAAGGATGCATGAAAAGAGGTTTGCAGAAGGATTGAAAAAGAGAGTAGAAACAACAAGGGTCGTCGGAGAAGGGGAAAGAGCAACCGCAACAACAACCATGGACGCAGAACCTCCAGCTCGAGGAGTACGAAAGCGGCATCACACCCTCACAAACGGAGGGGGAGACCTTGTGATGACTCCATTAATGAGAATGCCACCTCTCCCTCCCATACCATCGCAGAATATCACCATCTTTCAGATGCTGCAGCAGTTGGACAAGTTTGAGTCTTAACAAAGAAATAAGGTCCATCACAACACTAAATGTAACAAGGGATGCATTTTGTTATAAGCTGAGTAAAAATTCAATAGGGCAAGCCGAAAACATTGGAGAAGAAAAGAACCCAAGAATTCATCCTGTGTAGGTCGTCAAAAAAATGTACCTCGTCTTTTCTACTAAATCCAGATATTTTTATACTTCAGTGTTTACAAATGTCCATATTATACAACTCCTCATGCAGAGGCACGTTGGATAAGCTCTTTCTAATCCTCTTATTAGTAAAAATTATTAAAGATTAACTCCATTAATTTGTGAATGAAACGTGCAGAATTTTATAGATTTTAACTATAGCAGAGTATTAAATGAGTGTTTTATTGCTGGTGTTTTTATAGAAACCTATCCACAACTAGGCACGTCAATAATTGCATGTGAAATGTTCTACTAAAAATTTCACAACCTAGTCTGCCTACTGCCCATCACAAAATGTGCAGTGAAATTTTATATACGATCAACGGCCCTTGTCCAAATGTAGGCGTGCAGGCTCTATTTTCCATTGAAAGAATAAAATAAAAAGACAATATAAACCAAAAGCATAAAGACAAGGATAGAAAAAGGTACAATATCAATCAGACACAATCAGTATCTTCGTCTTATGTGCATCGGAAAGAGGAAAGCATTTTGACTGCTATACAGCTCAAAAGAGAGAAAAATGTTACAAAATACATAGTTTGACAAAGACAAACGGCTTGTGCTAGGTTAGTATCAATGAAGGTAAAAAACATAAAATAAAAATACATCTATACAAAGTTCAGACTCTGTTAGGGAGTAAGGAATCATTTGGTGGTAAAGCCTGACCATCTGTTTGATCCATCATTTTCTCTCAGTTCGCCTTTCCTAAAGCTTTTTCTGGCTTCACCGTTTAGCATAAAGCAATAAAGAAAACATTTGTAGATTGGTTGCATATTTTTTCTGAAATATTTGACACATCAGGAATCAAGACATGGAAGTCCTAAAGTGACACATTTCGTTCATTCTACAAGGGAAATACCAAGGGCAACAGCCATGCCCATTGTCAGCGAGATTATTTGGACAACTGTACTTCTTAATTTTGTATTCCCATTGTTATTCATTTCTGCAAGTACTCCCGCAATTGCGATGTATATAAATCCACCTGCTGTGAATCCCTGTCAAAAGAGACGCAAGTTATTGGTAAAATCAATCGAAGTTGAAATTATCCTGTAAATATGTTACAAGATCCTCGCCTCAATGAGAGATGACTGTCCAGGATCTTTCCCCCACAGCAGAGCCTGCAACAGAACAGCAATTTTTTTCCCATTTCATTCCATGTTCATTTTTGAAGACAATGAAGACTGACAATGATCCAAGTCTTAACTCAATCAGAAAATTCCTCAACAACACAATTTTAGAAGATTTAGTAGCCCCATAAATGTTTAAAAGTTGTCAACTAGTTACTGTACAGAAATCTAAGGTAAAATTAATCTCTCTTTTCATTATAGCTCATTTTATTTAGTAAGAAAAAAACGCAAAAATATGCAAACTGACTACCCCTTTTATTTCTCCTGTGATTATTTACTTAACGACGCTCTTCCAGTCACCAATTCAGTACATTACTTAATCTGTAACGAGTCTTAATTACAACAAATTTGTTCAAGACATTATTGTCAATCTTCACAATTTTATTTTAGTTTCAATGTTAAATGTTCAGGTATTTGGTGAATTATTGAATGAAGACAACACTCACCAATGCAGTCCCTGCAAGTGCTACAAGTGCTGAAAGAAAGTTGAAGAACAAAGCTTTTGGTACGCTGAAACCAGATCTTATTAGAATGCCAAAATCACCAATCTGTATGTAAAAGAAACAAATAGAATAAAACTTTTGGTGGGACAAAAGTAAAATCAAACCAATAATACCAATTAAACGTACATGTGAACAATAAATAAAACTACAATAGAAAAAAAAAAATACGAAGCTGGAGTTATAAAATGACAAACAAAGCATAAAACTCAAAATTGCAGAAATATGTAATTTGCGGCACTTTTGCCTCCCCAGTTAGGAAATGATAACACTGATGTTCAACTAATATTTCCCTAAACGTCTCATTAATGCAGGATAGTTAAGATCTGGCAGCTCTCATGCCAGATTGATCAGAGTTGCAATAGCAAACATCAAAGCCTACTAAGCCATGTAAAAATTGATCCAGTATAGAGAAGGAGGTTGTCCGTCAAAGCAAGAAAATATTCACCATTCACAGAATAAAAAGGTAATTATACTTTTTCTTCTACTTCAATAAAACTATTTGAAATGTACATGGTATGGAATGTACATGACTATGCACGGCTGGTCAAATGACACATGTTAGTAACTATATGAAATCTGAATATAAACCTGGAATATATATTTATCTAGACATATATATGTGCATATATATCACCAGATGAAATCTGTATAACATTTTTCATGAAATTTATAGTGCCTCGTTCTATTAAGAAATACACAATAGTGAAGATTATATTGAAAATTTAATGAAGTTTCATCATATGATGCATGTGTTTTGATAGGTTTTAGGCATATTGGTGCTTGCTAAATTTCTCTGATTAAAATCAAGTAATCAAATCATTTTATGAACTTTAACTTAATAAGTTAGGCAATAAGAAAAATAAACACCACATTAACAAAGATACATAATTGCTTCACTTTGTTAAATTAAACAAACAAACTTTTCAGGCCTTCAGGAAACTGCAGGTTACGTTAATGCCTAAAAATCAGATGAAAATGTTCTGCAGATGGAATACTACTGAACATGTGACAGAAAAAAGATGGTTTTAAACCTCTTGAGGAAGCTCATGTGCCAACAAAAACAGAGTTCTAGACCAGCCACCAACAGATCCATAAAGCAAGAATGCACTTCCTAAAGCCATTCCATCAGTGAAATTATGCTGCAATATTAACATATTTTACATGAATATACTTGAAACCTTTCCTTCATTTTACAGCCAATAAAAGGTCAAAATATAGCTTACCACTCCATCAGAGAAAAGATTGAGATAACCAAACACAAGGCTTTTTTCCTTTGAAGATTCTATATTATCAGTGGAGCTACCATCAGTACTAGGGTTGAGATTATCACTTTTGGTCACATTGCTTCCAATTCTCTGTGATTCAAGTATATCAATTGTCAGATAAGATAAATTTTCCACATTACCTCCAGTATTCCATTCAAACTAAATGTTTAATACAGCATTATACAACAATTGTAAACAAGCTATTCCAGCTGTTCAGGTTTTGCATATATTATTTATCCTATTTGGTTTAGTAATTGCATTGCCAGCAGCACAACTGGAGAAACATCTGAAGCGTAAACAACAATGGTTAAAAGTCATAGGATAGATGGGACATTAATGATTAAAACCAAATCAAAGGTGCATCCCAACCTCAGTCAGCTGAAGTAACAGAGCTCATCTTACCTTTCTGAGTGAGGTTTCAGATTGAGATTGATTATCTCCATTCAAAGAGTCACCTGACAAATGATCATCTTTTCTCTCATCTAGCAATCTGTCTTCCTTTGCATTACTAGAACTGTTATAATTTTTCAATTTTTTCTTACTATTGTGGTTATGGTGATGGTGTCCATGAGTCCATGAATTAGCTTCTCCCGAGTTTTCTTCAACATACCTCACTACCTTCTCCACAAGAAGAAAAAGTACAATTCCAGCTGCAAGAATAATATAACATTGTAAGAAACAGTGGTTCTTAAAGAACCCATCTTCATAATCCTAATTTTTGAAGACTAAAATTGACTAGAGAGAAATATATTGACGAAAGAAAGTTTAGAGAATAATATAAATACAAATATGAAGAAAGAGATCAATCACAGATACAAGCCTGCCTTTAAGCAAAAAATTCAACCTTTGAATTCCCATCCGCACCTGTTTTCCTCACAGCTATAAAAGTGATTTGTTTTGATGGTTTCATGCAGAAACCAACAAAAAAGTAGCCTTGTCCCACTAGCTAAGGTTGGCTACATAGATCATCACACCATTGAACTCAATTTTAAGAGTTTCTAGCGCATAGAGAGCCTTCACATAATTCCTTTGGTTGCTTTGTAAAGGGCATATCATAAGGACTATCAAAGCAGACAGTCCAGTCCAACTTGCCCCTACGAACCAAGGAAATAAATTTCATAGTCCAATCTGACCTATATTTTGAAACGAGTCATAACTTTTTGTTTAGTCTAACCCTATATTAGGTCAACAGGCCAATTTTGGTCTAATTAAAATTAAAAATAATAATGTGTTTATATAAAAACAATTAATTAAAAAAAATAAAAATATATTTTATATTTTAAGTTTTATTAATGAAATTAACTTTTATTTCAGATATAATGATTTAACATATAAATTACAAAAGAAGGGATCCATTCACTCCAAGATAAGAGTTAAAGACTTACTTTTCATTATCATCATTAATTTTTTTAGAAATATAATGGTCTAAACTAGTAATTCATCTTAACTATTAAATTTGGAATAACTAGATATTAGAGACTTATTCTTATACTTACTCTTATAATAAATAGATTTCTTATTAAATTAATTTATCATACATAATTTTCTAATAAAATAATATTACTTTTATTTTTATTTAAAATATTATTTTATAAAATGGACCGACTCATAAGCCTACTCGACTAGTTTGAGTTCATTTAGGCTATGACCAAAACAGACCGAATCCAAATTGATCTTATTCAATTTAGGTCACAAATTTGTTGGTCTACTTCCCAAGCCTTTTAGGCCAACTCATCAGGCAAAACCTATTTTGACATCCCTATATATCATGCACAATCCATTTCAAATTTAGTTGACACAAGATTTTGAAATTTAAATGCTCAAAAGTTTAACACCAAAGCTAATTTTGATCTTCCATAACAGATGCAAAAGAATGATATTCAACAATATGAATTCCAATTTTGAAGGTTTTGTTATTTATAAAGGAGTCTTCAAAATCAATTTTCTCTTCTAGTCATAAGCATTCATCATATTCTACTTCACATTCATGGTGAAGCCTTTCACTAGTAGTTTTCCATGGCTTAACAAGTTAGTCTGCATTTGCGGTAGATAAAAAACATTTTCTATGATGTATTGTTTCATCTTTTCTTTAAATCAAAACTTTGCCCATTCTATCAATTGTGCAATGCTATTATCAACAAACTTTACCTTTCTATTGACTCCTTCATCAAGATTAACAAACCACCCTCCATTTCTAGTCCTGTAATTTGAATAATTAATGCCCAAAATACCAAAAATCAAACATGATCTAATTCAGAATCATCAGTATCGCCTTGTGTCATTTGAACTTCATCCTCCCTCATTTTCTTTCCTTTATTGTTGTAGCATTCATCTGTAAGTAACATTGTATGTTTTTGTTATCAAATTAGTTTTATCCTTCTTTATTTTGATCATCCCCTTGCCAAAATTTCCTCAACCTCCATTTTTCTTGTGATTGTCACCACTAAAATTATTACTTAAGAACGTACTAGATCATTCACTAGAATTTTTCACTTTGTTCTTCTATTTTCCCTTGTTGTTATGTTTCTTTTATTTCTACAAATATGATTGTTCCATTTTGCAAGAGAATCTACTGAAAGGCTAGAATCATTTTTTCGAATGCAATAAAGTTACATAATTTCTATTTTTTGTTGAAGGGGTATTTTTTCACAGGTTTACCTTGGTATCGTGTTCATATTGTTGTATTAAATGATTCGGGCCGTTTGCTTTCTATTCATATAGTGCACACAACTCTAGTTGCTGGTTGGGCCAGTTCGATGACTCTATATGAATTAGTAGTTTTTTATCCCTCTGACCCTGTTCTTGATCCAATGTGGAGACAGGGTATGTTTGTTATACCTTTCATGACTTGTTTAGGAATAACTAATTCTTGGGACAGTTGGACGTCACCCCAAACATCATTTCTTGAAGATGTTAGTGCAAACAAAGCCTAAACTGCATCTCTCTAAACACTTCTCTCAAGTAGCTTTTGTTCATGAACTTTAAGAGAATTTTGTAGCTCCTCCACATTCATCTTTTCAAGATCTTTGATTCCTTAATTGTCACCACAATATAGTCAAATTAGGGAGTCAATGTTCTTAAGACCTTCTCAAATTTTTTTGTTCATCTAAAATCATGGAACTGGAATTGGAGTCAAGGCAAAAGAAATGTTTTCAGAGGCAATCTTGGTGATTCATGTTACAAAGTCCACACTCGTCCATAGCCACCAACACAAATAGACCTAAGGTTGCATGCAGTGAGAGTGGGTTCTCATTCCTATGGTGGGAAAGCATCACAATGCTTCCAGGAAGGGAAAATGAACATCATGGAGATAAAATGAACCTTGAGATCATGCTTCCACAATTCCTATCTTAAAGACAAGGTTATTTTTAGGAGGAGTGTATTTTTAGGATATGTGGAAAAGAGAGGCTAGTTAAGTTAGTTAATATTAATTAGTTTATTCGGGTGCAAGTTTGATATAAATAAAGACAGAACAACAAGAGAGGGACAATGATGTTCATTTATAGATTGAGGACTAGCTCATAAATCCTTTGTAAAATGGAAATCCTAGGAGACGAGATTGGTGGTCTCCTATTTCTTGTTTTCCTCATCCTATTGAATATAAATATTTCATTTCCTTCACTTTTCAATTTTTGGTTCCTAACAAATTACAATCTTACTAGTGGTGCATAAGCACTATTGATAATGATAGTCTCCCCTACAACCATTAAATTTAAAGATAAAATTTTGCCCATAATCCTTTTTACATCCACCGCACATTCCTTCCAATCCTTGTCCACAATAGTACTCATGTCATTCTTTCAATCTTTCTTCTATCTTTTCCTATATGCCAAAGTTAAAATCTTGAAGTGTGTAGCTCCTTAGCTTTTCTTCCAACCTATTTAGTTTCTAGGAGTCACATGATATTAATCCGTTTTCATATTATGTTGTCCACCAACTCCATAGACTTAACTTGTCAAAGTACCAATAGTTTAAGTAACAAACCTAATTAAGAATTCTTGGACTAACTTCTTGTACCAATATTAACCTGAGGACCTTTGCACGTTTTACACTATCTAAGAACCAAGGCAACTAATCTAGCTCATTTAAAATAGTACCAAAGCAATTACAACCTATTACTTCAAAATAACAACCTGGGTAGTACCCAATCCATCATGAGAGATCCATATTTGGGGTTTCAACAAGTTTTAAACAAGTACACAAACCTTCTTCCAAAAGACCATAGTAACTTCTTTTTCACAACCCTCCTTATAAATGACTATAATATATTTCCATTCATGGCCTATTAAGAAAAATAATAAAGGGAATTAGTGCAGGTACTAATTAGAGGGATATCATGGGTTAGTCCCATGAGTATATAGATAAGAGGGTACAAGGGTAAAGGGGGGAGATTTGTTGTTATTGTAAATTGAGCTTTTTACTCTTCGCAAAAGGAGAAATCTTTTGTAGGGGGAAAAATCCAAGGAGGATAGAATGCTCTTCTATCTCTTGTTCTTTTCATTCTATTCAATTAAAAAAAAACACTTTCCGTTTCAATTCTTGGTTTCTAACAATGAAATCATTTGTGAAGGGGAAACCCTTGGAGGAGAGAGTTCTCTCCTATTTCTTGTTCTTTAAATTCTATCAATAAAAATCTTTTCTTTTTCATTTTATAAACAATTCTTGGTTCATAATATATGTCCAACTTGCTGGATGTTCTAGAGAGAGGTAGAGTTAGAGATGGAGGAAACACATTTGGGCTAAGAAGGAAGAGCTGCTAGCATTTGTGTGGGCAGACCCAATTGGTTGGATTCGTAGGGCTGAAAATTTCTGAGGTATAAGAAATTCATTCTTCCATGAGCTACAATATACATTCATGAGCATCAAGGGTGTTGTGATGTACTAGTTCTATGCTTGGAGCCAAAATAACCTTGATTAGAATTGGGAAGTCCTTTTCCATACTTTGATCAAAAGATTCAAAGATGGCTATGGTAGCCTTTGAAGGGATTGCTACCTTGCAGCAAGAGGTGAAATGGAAATCTGCATAAAAGAGGTGGAGACACTAACGATAAAACAAAGGATGGCAGTGGAAAAAGGCAGGACCAGTAACAAAATTTTGGTAAAACAATCAATAGGGAGGAGAACTTTGATGACGGTGTCAAAGGGAGGGGGAGGTGGTGATGAGACTTGTTCTTGGGCAAAAGGCAAGAAAGATAAGCAACCTTTTTTCATGGGAAAGAAAGTTGAGTGACACAATTAGCCCATTGGGTTGTGCTGATGAAGCCCACCAAAGCAAACTTCAATGCAGTACTGAGATGGAATTGGAACTTGATTTGGGTCACATGATATTAGGACATCGATGGAACAACCAAATACAGCATACAGCTTTTGAAAATCATAGTTTGAGTAATAAAAAACAACAGAATGAAGGAAAAAAAGGTGTTGTTGGAGGCACAATTGAAGGACCAAGGGGAAAGTGACAAGAACTATCATTGAAGTATTGGTCACAACAATGAAGGAGCTATGGAAATTTTCCATATCGACCAAACCTTTTGGAGTAGAACTATGTCAGAACTTCCAGGCAACAGCCAATGAATCCAGGTTACACAGTTCCTACTCACACATTGACCATCACCAAAAGCCACCAGACATCATCAAATAGGTAGTGTTTAGAAGGTGCTACTTGCACGGCAAAGATGGATGGGTGCCTTGGGGTGCTCCAACAGCAGTGGATGTATCTTGCAATAAATATTTGACTTTGATGAAGATAAAAGACATAGGGACAGAATGGGTATGAATGTAACATATGGGTTCAGGAGAAAATGCTTTGCGATAGCCTAATTCAATGTCAGATTTTATTGTGTCCCATGTAAGGGATATTTAGTCCATACCATACTTCAGGAGGCTTCGCTCCAGTTTTCATAGCTCCTGTTTTTACTGATCTGAGTGTTCACCTTATTCATAGCTAATCTACTCCTGGTCCAAGAGTGTTTGGGAAAGCTTGGAAATCTTTTGCAATGACTGTGGTCCAGCAGGTGGCTCATGAAAAAATAGCTGGCTAATCAATGCTTCCAACAGTGGGATTCAGGAAAAGACAATTTTGAACTCCTGCATTGGAAGAAATCATTCCCAGATTGTAACGCTGAGGACAAGGTTAATTGTTAGGAATGCTGTCCAAAATCAACCAGAGGCCCAATTGCTGTCAAAGCCCAATGAAGATGTTGTTGAGATAGAGAAAGCCAAGGATGAGTCCAAATCCAAACGTATAAGCAAAAGACCCAAAAATTGGAATAATTATGTGCATTAGCTGATGTGTTAATTTGTCAATAGGATTCATTCTAGAAGGAGTTTGTTAGGGGAAGATTTTATTCTGTGTTTTTGTTTTTACAGCACTTTTCTGATTTTGCTTTCGGTATTTACATGATGGGAAGGAATGGAATGAGGAGGGGGAATTTTATGTCAATCACTTCTCTCTCTTAGTCCTTGCTTAGGAGGTTCTCTCTACCTCTAACCAGAGATATCCCTTTTATCAATTGGTGCGCTTTCATATGGCGAACAACACACGTTCCAAAACTTTGGAGCGCTTGGAGGCGATGATGGAGAAATTGCATCAGAATGACAAGTCCTTAGCGTCTCACTTGGATGAAATGTTTCTTCGTGTCACTGCCATTGAAGCAGCTCAACCCGTTATTCAACACACTGAGTCTCTGGGAGGCGATGCTTCGGGGGCCTCGGATCCAACAGCCAATTTCAGAACTGACAACACTCTTTCTCAACACCATTTTCATAAGCTTGATGTACCCCGTTTCAATGGAACAGATCTTGTAGGATGGATTTTTAAAATCTCTCAATTTTTCTCTTACCATAAAACACCAGAACACGAACGACTCATTATTGCTTCCTTTATTTGGATGGTCAAGCGCTAGCCTGGTACTAATGGATGTTCAACAACCATCAATTAATTCCGTGGTCTCAGTTTCTGCGTGCCCTTGAGCAGCGATTTGCTCCTACAGCCTACAACGATCCTCGCGGTAAACTTTTCAAACTCACACAAATTTCGTCAGTTGCCAATTACTTGTCGGAGTTTGAAAGTATTGCAAATTGAATTGAAGGCCTTCCATCTCCTTTTATATAGAGTTGTTTTGTTTCTGGATTGAAACCGGCGATCCAGCGGGAAGTTTTTGCTCATCAACCCGTTTCTTTAACCCAAGCCATCGGTTTGGCTCGTTTGCACGAAGATAAGGTTCAATCTCTTCCGCGAGTATTCAATCCACGTCCAATTTCACAATGGTCCCCACCGTTGATTTCTCGCACCACTACTCAATTTACACCGAAGCAACCAACACTTCCCAAATCGTTTCTGTCGTTATTGCCCACTCCTCCTGCAAAAGTCCGTTATAAGCAATTAACAGAAACTGAAATGGCTGAAAAAAGAGAAAAGGGTCTTTGTTTTAATTATGACCAACGATACTTTCGAAATCATCGTTGCCCAGCGAAGTATTTTCTTCTGGTTACTTCTGAGGAGAAACCCGATGAACCTTCTGGTGACCTTATCAGTGCCCAAGATGACCTTTCATTCCATGACCCTGGACCTTCTTATTCTGTTTAAATAGAGACACCCCAGGCCCAACTGAGCCTTAATGCCTTGTCCGAATTGGGCCATCCAGAAACATTCCGAATTAAGGGACAAATTGGCACCCAGACGGTGGGGGTGTTAATAGATGGTGGAAGCACCCATAACTTCATCCAGAGTGGGGTGGTACACCACTTGGGCATCCTTCCCAGCCCTATTGCCCCTCTGAAGGTGCTGGTGGGGACCGGAGAAGAGTTATTATGTTCCTTTGTTTGCCAACCAGCTAACGTGTTGATACAAGGGCACTCGTTCTCTCTGGATCTCCACATTTTGGACATGGGTGGTTCCGAAGTAGTATTGGGAGCCCAATGGCTCAAGAAACTGGGTCCAGTCTTGATGGATTATGAGAAGATGACTATGAAGTTTGTGCACAATGCTAAGTTAGTGGAATTACGTGGAGATACCTACTCAGGACCAACTCCTATTTCCTTACACCATCTCTCTCAATTGGCTTCTTCCGGCATCGAAGCCCAATTTTTCTCCCTTACATTGTTAGGGCCTTTTCAGTTATCCACCCAAGTTTCTACTCAATTACTTGACCCGAGGCTCCATTCTCTTGAGGAATTTCCTACACTTTTCACTGAACCTTCTGAGTTGCCACCAATGCGGCCAACTGACCATGTCATTCCCCACATCTTAGGTGTCGCTCCTGTGAATGTGCAACCTTACCGTTATGCGCACTCTCAAAAGCACGAAATCGAACGCCAAGTTTAAAAGTTGTTGTCCAATGGATGGATTCGACCAAGCACATCCCCGTTCTCCTCTCCTGTGCTCTTGCTCAGAAAAAAAAAAAAAGCGGCGATTGGCGTATGTGCGTTGATTATCGCGCTTTGAACGCGATCACAGTGAAGGACAAATTTCCTTTATCCACTATTGAGGAGCTTCTCGACGAATTGGGATCTGCCATTTGTTTTTCGAAGCTGGATTTGGCTTCTGGGTTTCACCAAATCAGATTGCAAGCGGAGGATGTAGCCAAAACTGCATTTCACACACATGATGCAGATTATGAGTATCTTGTAATGTCGTTTGGCTTGTGTAATGCTCCGGCGATGTTCCAAACGACAATGAATGATGTCTTTTTCCCTTTATTGCAGAGATCTGTTATTGTCTTCTTCGATGATATACTGGTTTTCAGCTCTTCCATGGAACAACATCTCCAAAACTTGCGTGAGGTATTTTCGCTCCTTTCTGAACATCATTTTCACTTACAACCCTCGAAAAGTTGTTTTTGTCAGGATACTATAGAATACCTTGGCCATATTGTGAGTGTTGGGTGTGTCTCTCCAGACCCATCTAAGGTTTCTGCTATTTTGGCTTGGCCTCTACCCAAAAACATCAAGGAATTGCGTGGATTTCTTGGTCTTACAGGCTTCTATCGTAAATATGTCTGTGGTTACACCACCATAACTCAACCAATGACTGAATTACTCCAGAAAGACAATTTCCACTGGAATTCTAGTGCTATTGTTGCATTTGAAGCTCTCAAAACCGCAATGGTTTCTGCACCAGTACTCTCCCTTCCAGATTTTTCTCTGCCTTTCGTGGTTCAGACAGACGCTTCTGGAGTAGCAATGGGAGCGGTTTTGTTAGAATTTGATCATCCAGTGGCATATTTTAGCAAAATATTTTGCCCGCAAATGATCCAGGCTTCAGCTTATATCCGGGAATTACACGCCATTACTAGCGCCGTAAAAAGATGGCGGCAATACTTATTGGGAACTTTTTTCACAATCCAAACAGATCAGCGAAGTTTGAAGGAGATATTGACACAGGTGATACAAACGCCAGAGCAGCAATTCTATTTGGCTAAATTACTCGGATATCATTATGATATTCAGTACAAACCTGGAAAAACCAATATAGTTGTTGATGCCCTTTCAAGGTCTATTGTGCCTACCACACCCTCTCATTTTGTCCTCACCTACCACAATTCAATTTCCTTGAGGCGTTGAAGTTGGAATGCCAATTAGATCCCCAATTTGTAACTCTTCAACATTCATTGGCTATTGACCCAACATCTCTTCCTAGGTTTAGCACACTGAATGGCTTTCTCATTTTTCAAGGCCGCATTTGGATCCCTACTACTTCTAAATTTAAGTCTCTACTCCTTCAGGAATTTCATGAAACTCCAATGGGTGGACATGCTGGTGTAAAAAAATCGTTTAAAAGGCTAAGTGAAAATTTCTACTGGGAAAATATGGCCAAGGATGTCAAGTAGTTTGTCTCCCATTGTGTCACTTTCCAGCAAGTAAAATACAATACTAAGCGTCCGAGTGGGTTGCTTCATCCTCTCCCTATTCCTACGCAAGTCTGGGAGGACATTTCCATGGATTTTATCACAAGGTTGCCTCCTTCTCACAGCTATATTGTTCTTTTGGTCATTGTGGATCGCTATTCAAAGGGAGTCCATTTAGGAGCACTTCCATCACAATTTACCGCCTACAAAGTTGTTGAGTTGTTTGTTTCAATCTATTGTTGTCATCATGGCCTTCCTAAGAGCATTGTTTCGGATAGAGATCCCATTTTCATCAGTCGATTTTGGTCAGAACTGTTCAAGTTCAGTGGTACCTTGCTTCGCATGAGTTCTTCGTATCACCCACAAACTGACGGGCAAACAGAGGAGATGAATCGTTCCATTGAACAGTACTTGCGTGCATTTATTCATCATAAGCCTTCTCTTTGGTTTAAATAACTCTCTTCGGTGGAGTACCATTATAACACTTCGGTGCACTCTGGTACTGATCTTTCACCATTCCAAGTCATATATGGCCGCTTGCCACCTTCCATTCCATCTTATGTGGTAGGTTCATCCTCTATTGTTGCTTGTGACTCTTTACTATCTTCAAGGGAAGAAATTTCTACATTCCTTCATCGAAACCTTGAGGCGGCTCAACAAAGGATGAAACTAAATTCTGATAAAAGGCGTTGTGAGATTCAATTTGCTATGGATGATTGGGTATATCTCAAATTGCAGCCGTACCTCCAGGTTTCCTTGTCAGGAGAGAAGTTCACTAAGTTGAGCAAGAGGTATTATGGACCCTATCGCATTCTAGAGCGCATTGGCCCTGTTGCTTATCGTCTTGAGCTGCCTTCTCATTCCAAAATCCATGATGTTTTCCATTGTTCATTGTTGAAGTATCATCATGGCGCTCCTCCTGCTATTATTGATGAATTACCTCCTAATTCCACTGAACATCACCCTCTGATTACTCCTTTGGCTATACTAACCTTCAAAACAGTTCCCATAGACGGCAAACCCACTACCTTCGCTCTGGTGCAATGGTTAGGCTTATCTCCCGATGACACATCTTGGGAGCTTTGGGAGAACATTCGCGAAATTTATCGCCTTGAGGACAAGGTGTTTCTTGATGAGGGAGGTATTGTTAGGAATGCTGTCCAAAATCAACCAGAGGCCCAATTGCTGTCAAAGCCCAATGAAGATGTTGCTGAGATAGAGAAAGCCAAGGATGAGTCCAAATCCAAACGTATCAACAAAAGACCCAAAGATTGGGATAATTATGTGCATTAGCTGATGTGTTAATTTGTCAATAGGATTCATTCTAGAAGGAATTTGTTAGGGGAAGATTTTATTCTGTGTTTTTGTTTTTACCATTAGCACTTTTCTGTTATTGCTTTCGGTATTTACATGATGGGAAGGAATGGAATGAGGAGGGGGAATTTTATGTCAATCTCTTCTCTCTCTTAGTCCTTGCTTAAAAGGTTCTCTCTGCCTCTAAACAAAGATATCCCTTTTATCATTAATTTTCAGGGAGCGGTATGGCTAGGATTTAGAAAAAAGGGAATTAGTGTAGTTACTCATTAGAGAGATATCATGGGTCAAGGCCATCATATCTATAAATAGGAGGATAGTAGGGTAAATCGGGAAGATTTATTATTGTTGTAAATGAAGAATTGGCTATTTATGAATCGAGAAATCCTTTGTGAATGGATAACCCAAAGAGGAGATAGTGCTCTCCAATTTCTTATTTTTTTCATCCAATTCAATATAAATATTTTTTATCTTTCTCTTTTCAACTCTTGGTTCCTAACACAACTCTCCTTTCGAAAGGCACTAAGAAATAATTATCACTAATTGGTAAAAGTAAAGGCAGTAAGCAAAATTTTGAAATATTTGATACAAATAAGATAAAATATAAATTTATTCAGTTCAACTAATTGGTAAAAGTAAAGGAGACCAATAATTTAAAGTGAATAATCAACATGATCATGAAGAACATCAAGCATATCACTACTAACCAAGGATGGATATTCCTACAGAGAGATCAGCTAAAGAATGTGAATGACCATGTCCAGAACTAGCATGATGATCATGCTCTCCATGGTTATCATGAGAATGGGAGTGTCCATGGTTGTCATGAGAATGGGAGAGTTCTCCACCTACAGTAAAGAGAATCATATCATTCAAAGAATATTATTTTTATACTAAAAAGTATTAGAAAGAAAACAGGATTGAAGAAGATAAGATATTCTTAACAAAATAGTAAGAAAAAACAAGAAAATTGAAAGGAATCAACTCAATCAACGGCACAGCAAGCTTGGCAGTCACTATGCAAATCATAGGATAGAAACTTCTTTTTAAAGTAAAGTGCACAATAAATTATGGACTAAAGTGAACAGAATCCAACATCCAGTAACTTATATCCTTAATCCTTTTTCTACCAGAGTATTTAATGGAAAAATTTCCCTTAGTTGAAACAAAAACACCCAATACTTATCAAACAATTTTCACCCCCATTAAATAAAATATGTACATCAACAAACACCAAAAATCAAAGGAAAACAACTGCTTGATTACGTAAACGTAATACACTTATTATTTCTTATCTCAATCTAGCCAAAAACACAAATATAGGGTTCGTTAGATTTGCTTAAGGCTATCGTACTAGACAGCACAAACAACCACTTCTTGATAACTTCAAGGTTTAACCTCAGAGGATATATTCATTATATAGTGACACCCAGACTCAGAAATGTTATAATAATACAGAACAGACTGGAGAGGATACAAAATTCATGATGATTGATTTGACTTCGTCTCAATGCAACAAATATAGTTTGCAAGGCGAACATTGGGTTTGATAGGTCGAGAAGAGCATCTTGGGTCAAAAGGAGTAGATGTAGAAGTGGGACTATGGTGCGAAGGAGTGTCAAGGGTGGAAGAAAGGGAACCAAGTATGGTAGATCGATGAGAACTTGATTGTGGAGATATTAAGGGAAACTTCAATTGTGATGGTAAATGTCAATATGGAGACATCAAGGGAAGCTTCGATGGTGATGGTAAATCTGGATGGGGAAATATCAAGGAAGGCTTTGATGTTATGGTAAATGTCGATGTGGAGATATCGAGGAAAGTTTCAATGCTGATGGTAAATTTGGATTTGGAGATATCGAGGGAAGCTTTGATGGTGATGGTAAATGTCGTGTGAAGACATTGAGGGAAGCTTCGATGGTGATGGTAAATCTGGATGGGGAGATATGAAGGAAGGCTTCAATGGTGATGGTAAATTGAGATGTGGAGATATCAAGGGAAGCTTCGATCGTGATGGTAAATATCGATGTGAAGATATCGAGGGAAGTTTCGGTGATGGTAAATCTAGATGAGGAGATAGTGAGGGAAGCTTCGATTGTGATGGTAAATCTAGATTGGGTATTTGTATTGGGTTTTTCTCATGACGAGTTTGGGCATTAGTTGGCATTTCTTGTTAGGCCTCCTTGAGAACCTGATTTTTTTAAATAAAAGGAAATATTGATTCATAAAATGACATTTCTTGAGACAAAAATTTCTCTCAATTGGAAATCGAAAATAATGTCCCCTTTTGTTCCTATTTGAAATCCAAGAAAAACACCTTATCTAGATCTAGGATCAAATTTTTTATGAGGTCCATTAGTTGAAGAATAACATAAAGATCCAAATACTTTAAGCATTGAAAAATCTGGTTTATGATTATGCAAAAACTCATAAGGTGTTTGTTTTTTAATGACTGGAGAAGGAATTTTGTTAATAATGAAGACTGAATGTTTCATGGCATAAGACCACAAATATTCAGGTAATTGAGATTGGAACATAAGGGCATGTGCAACATTAAGAATGTATTGATGTTTTCTTTCTACACACCCATTTTGATGAGGGGTGTAAACACAACTAATGTGATGAAATACACTTTGTGGCAAATAAATCTTTCAGACAAAATTTGAGTCCATTATCTGAACGAATGCACTTTATTTTGGAATCAAATTAATTTTCTATTAAAGCAACTAAAGTTTTGAACATGCATTTTAACTTCAGATTTTGACGTTAATAACACAACCCAAGTATATCTACTAAAATCATGTACAATGGTCACAAAATATTTTTCTCCATGAATGCAAAGCATTGGAAAAAGGACCCCAAATGTCCATATGAACTAAATAAAAAATCTTTCAAGCTTTGCTAGTACTAAGATTGTAAAAAAAAAAAAAATTGGTTAGCAAAATGACAAATGTCACAATTCTCATTAACAACAAAATTTTGTTGGAAGCATTTTTGTTGGTGGGCGACGAACTAGATGCACCACGACCTTTACCGAAGGTGTTGGAAGAGTTAACAAAGCTATTGGGTTCAATAGATGAAGGAGGAACAACACTGAGCTAACTTTCATGTTGAACAACCATAGAAAAAACTTGATTGACCGTCGGAAGGGGATCCATAAGCAAGATTTGGGAATGTTCATCCAAGCCATTCAAGAATCTAATGACAAAATCTTGTTGATGGTATTTCTTGGCCTCACAAGAACAGGTAACTATCTAGTTTCTCCCAAAGGATTTTCAAGGAAGTGTAAAATTCAGAGACAGGACGGTTACCTTGAGAAAGGCCATAGATTTCATTCTAAAGCTCTACAATGCAGAGAAGATCTCCTTGTGAAAAACGTTTAAGGTTGTTCCAAATGTCAGTAGCATATTCAAGGAAGATGCCACTTTGGGCAATGGAGGGGGAAAGCGAATTCAAAAACTAGGACATGATGAGTGTTGCATCTCTCCCATGCAAGGTATAGAGGCTCTTTGATTGAAGGGACTGGGGTTGTACCAAGGAGGAATGCCATTTTGTTTTGGGAGATGAGGGCCATACGGAAAGCATGAGACCAAGACTGATAGTTTGTTCCATCAAAGACAGGACAGAGGAAGGACCATCTCTAGGATGGATGAAATAAGGACTTGAAGGGTTGAGCATTGGGTCATTGAAACCAAAACTAGAAGGATCATCTTTCTTTGAAGTCATGGGTGGATGACAGGCAGAGCTCTAGGGGGAATAAGGACAAGAGAGAAGATATTCTGGACACTAAGGTAATGATTTGAGAATGAATTTCGTACATTGATTTCAGTAAAAACATACAATGTTATATATACATTTTTACCTAAGAAATTACAGCTCATACTCTTCTAGAATCTACTCTATAATTGTAATAGGGAATATTTACATAAAGAGATATTTACAAGAGTTAGAATGGGCTGAGAACTATTGGGTTGTACTGGTTTGGGCTATTATTCTATTAAATAGTAAACATACATATAGTCAAAATATTTGTTTTATCTTTTGTTGTATAACTTGATAACACAACTTTTGGTTGTACTTGGCTTTAGGGTTAGGATTAGATGCTAGACTCTTTTCTTTTGTTCGGTACCTTGTCTCACCTCTCTCGTGTGTATGTGTGTGTATATATATATATATAAGGATTACTCACTAATTTTATCCATTCTTAATATTCAAGTCAAATATATAAAAAACCAGACCCAAACTTTTAGTCTCACTACCACTTCACATATTTCTTCCGAGGGCTGATTAACAAATTTCAAATTTTATACATGTTCAAACTAGTAACAATCAAACTGACAACCATTAATACTCAAGGTTGCAATGAGACCAATGAAAGAAAAGGCATAGAGATACACACATAACATATATGAAAAAAGAAGATAAGAGACACATAATTTCCTCCAATGTTATATTTTTATTCATCCTCCAATGATATCAAATAATGGAAAACTAGTAATTATAAGAATTTAACTGCACTTTGACACAAAAATACTCAAACATAGACATAAACTGCCTTGAGGACTGGTTCTGATGCATTATATACCAAAAGCATGTGGTAATTGGTGAAGAAATGCATCCCCCAACATAGCTCCTGCCTGCAAAAGGCATGAACAATGAGAATGAAATGATGAAAAAAATGTAAATCAGAAAGAAAAATAAGATATTTAACCAAGTTATTGACAGAAGGTAATTTAGTAACTTTTCCTAGTTAGCATTGTTCCAGCACTCACAATTTCCAAACCACATAAAAGTATAAAATGTCATTACAAGGAAATAAGGAAGAACAATACCCAAGATGACCAAAGAGAAAAAAAAAATTTCCATGTATAGACTTTTCAAGAATTTAAACACAAAAACACATCCTAAGATGTCCTTTAACATTGTAAGGAAGTGCATACAGATGCATGTACTAAGTGAAATTGAAATGTAAATGACATGGTGAATGATATTGATGTGAACAAGGGCAATATCCACGTGGATGGGCCCATAACGACGATACCCATGTGAATGAGCCTAACAGATTTGCTAAGGTATATTCTAGAAGGCCTAAGAAGGGTACAACATCAAAAGATAAAAAGGGAAGGGGAATAGCATAACTAACTTTGCCTAGCTTGAAAAGTAAGAGAATGTGTTAAGTGGTGTACTTAGTCTCAATGTGCATGGGGATGAAGGGTGGTGTGGAGGGCAAAAATTATACTGAGTTGGTTATTGGGTGGACTTTGGCAACTTCCTTCGTCATTGTTCCTATATTTTCATTCCATTTCACTTAACTCGAATAATACAGTTTCTTCCTCTTATGCAAATTGATACATATCTATCAATTGGTATTTAGAGCTAATTTTGTTTTTGCATCCCGTAAAGGGAAGATGGTGCGTTCAACAGTAACAACATTGGATAGTAGGGTGGAGGCATTGGAGCAGCTAGGGAATGAGGGTGGAAACGAGAAACCAAATGGAGCAATTGCGTCAACTAATAAAAAATCAGCAACGATGAAGAAGAGGTAGGTTGTTGAGAAGAAATCACGACAAAAGCCAAGAATTAAACAAAACGTCATCTCGTTCAATTTTGCGTTGGAGTAATGGTAGCAACCATCGTCAGCATCCAGCTTGAGGAAGGAAGTTAGAAATTCTTGTGTTCAATAGGGACGAGACATATGGATGGATTGTGAAAGTAGACCAATATTTTTAGATCAACAAAATGTTCAAAGATGAACAGTTAGATGCAGACGATGATCACATTAGAAGGGTGCACACTGAGCTAGTATCAATGGTGGGAGGAACAGACCATTGATCAAAGTTAGGAGGAGCTCACGCAAGCAGTAATCAGGACATTTCAACCAGATTTGGTTCAGAATCCTACAGGTCGAATTCTCAACATGAAGCAAACAAGGATTATAATGGAATACAAAGAACAATTTGAGATGCTAGCTACTTCGTTGAAGAGACCCGAGAGGATGATGCTTTTGGGCATTTTTCTAAATGGTCTCAAAGAAGAGATACAGGTGGAATTAAAGCTTCATGAGATGCGTATGCCCACTTAGATGATGGACAAATCATTACTCATCGAAGAGAGGAACAACACAACACTGAAGGGAAGGTAATGACAAAGGAGTGGGGGGATAGCATGAACATGAGGAAGGTGGGGCCCAATAGCTTGGGAAAAAACCAAGGACGAGTATAACATATGTAGCTAAGCCCAAAGTAGTAGTTGAGGCCCATATTGAAAATAAGGCCAATGTAGGAGGTGTTGGTATTAAGAAAACAAAAACTATAAAAAAGGTTAACTCAAGAGGAATTGAGAGAATTAAGTAGAAAGGGGTTGTGTTTTAAATGTGTGGAGAGATGGGGACATAACCATATCTATAAACTCAAGCACTTTAACTTGGAAATAATAGAGGAAGGCGACACAAGGAGTGTATCGAATGGGGGGTATGGATGGGGTAGAAGAGGTGACACTAGAAGCTATGGTGTTGAAGCTATACATGAAAAGTACCCAAGGATGCACCTCTCATAATTCATTTAAGGTGTGGGGAACTTTGAATCAACATCAATGTTGACTTTAGTTTATCCAGGGGCCTCCGTTACTTTTATTTCTTCGAGGAACTTAATTTGGAGTTGACAGAAAAGCCAAAGTACACTATGGAAGTAGGAACCAGGGACAAAGTGGTGCTCAAGGGGCGTTTCCAAGATCTACAAATACAAATTCAAGGAGTGTTGTTTGAGCATATATTTTTTTTATGACCCTCGGAGGTACAGAGGTGGTGTTGGGAATGGAGTGGTTGTCTAGGATGGGAGACATCAAGGCCAATTTCAAGCAATTTGACTCTCAAGTGAAGTAGGGAAAGAAAAAATTTGTAATTAGAGGTGATCCATGACTTTGTAGCAACCAAACCTCATGGAAAACTTTGACTGAAGCATTACAAGAGGTGGGAGAAGACTATTGATAAACATAGTGAAAGAAAAACAATAGAAAGAGAATTCAAGATAGTCAAAGTAGGTAGAAGAAACCTGACCCCAAATAAAGCCAATGAATCAACAACAGCCTTTGACGGTTTCCCTTGTACTGCAATAGTAAATGACCCAGAGTATTCAGTTTTGTATACTGTAGATAAACCTTTAATATTGAGAAATAAATAATTAATATCGTACAAGATGAAAAAAAAAATTACTTACCAAAAATTATAGGCAGGATAATCAGGCAAACAAGAGAAGCCATGCTCACCAGAAATGAACAGCCCAACGCATTCAACCAAAGGCCTAAAACGAGAATAAATGAACTATATAAACTTCAAATTTGAAACAATCTGAAAATTCAAGCTTTCAGAAAGGTAGAATAGCATAAGCAGCAAGCATCTTATGCAATAATTTTTCATATGTTTTATCCAAAAATACAATTATTATAAGGGGCTTGCATTCTATTAGAAATGCCCAAAGAAGAAGACATTTACAAGAAGATAATCTTAATCTCAATATAACATAGCAATAGATTCCAAATGTCATCATGAAAGAGACTTTACTTTTACTGTTACTGTGATGAAATGTCTACTTAAAGGACGCTGCTTTTAAAGACAGAAATATACACAAGCTTAATGGAGGAGAGGAGCATTCAACTTCAGTAAGTATTGAAAAAGTGGTATATGTCTCAAGTACGATCGGTCCAATTGCACTTCTGTCGGACAAGGGAAACCATGAGTATGATTTGGACTAAGTTAAAATAAACAATTTTCAACTAATTGGAGGTAAGCTATTATCCCTCATCCCATATCAAATCATATCTAACTCAATAATCCAGCCCATACTAAACACCATAAATTAAAGAAAAAAAAAATTAAAGGTTCATGGGGAAGTAGCTACCGTCAAGGAAATTAACTTGGTGACTATTATACATGTTATGTTTTTATCTACCGTATATTTGTGGAAAGCCTAACCACCCCATTTGAAGTAAAAATTTCATTGTAAGATGCACTACACACAGGCTTCATGATTTCAAATCTACAATGATAACAAAGCATTCTGGATCTGTTGATAAACCCTCTACACACACTGAACGTAAACCCTACACCAGGTAGGCCGACATCTCCCCTCGAAGCTTCTATAGATTGTAATTCCCCTAATAGGCCAATCAAAACATCACTCTGACCTATTTCACACGAATTGCATTTGAAATTACGAATTTCAAATCGCCACATAGAGCTAATCGCGCAGCAGAAAACACACACACAAAAATACCTAAACCGGATAGTTCTGTAGTATCGTGATGGTGATGGTGATGCGGTAAACCGAAGCCGTATAGTTTCATATCCTCCTCTTCCGCTAACTCTTCGGGAAGCTTCGACCTACCATCAATCTTGTCCTTATGGTCATGCGCATGGTCATGGTGATGATGGTGGTCGTCACAGTGATGATTGGCATCGGATGCACAGAAACCAGAATGAGAATGGGAATGGGAATGAGGCTGATGCGCTATTCCCAGATCCAAACAGGACAGAAGAGCCAAACAGAGGAGAAGCAATGCCAAATAGTCCACACTCTTTCTATCCAACGCCATGGAATTGGGAAGAATTGAAGGAGAGAATTTAGTAGTACGAGTGAGAGTGGAATTAGGAGCGTGACTTGCAAGTGCCTTCGATTGTGATGTAGCAAACAATGACTAAGAAGAGGATGATAATGCCGACTATGATTCCGAACGTTATGACATCCATATTTAGTGTGTACTACCAATCTAACATTCTTTTTTTTTTTTTTTTCCTTTTTTTTTTCTTTTTTCTTTCAAAACTTTAGGCACTAATTTTACGTTTGGTTCGCTTTTATTGAGGTTGAGGTAGCAGGGGCAGCACTGGCACAATTGCAGCGCAGGCTTCCTGTTCTTACCTGGTGGTACTTTCCTTCCACTTGTCCAAACTCTTTTAAATATATATATATTATACATTAAAATTAAAAAATTATAATAGATATAAATAGAAAGTAAACATGCTTAATTAAAAAGTAATAAAAAAAATAGCTACGCATGTAAAAGTAGATAAAAAAATATTTTAAAAAATTTCATCATTTTCTATTATCATATTTTTTAACACATTTTTTCCAAGCTATTTTTTTAAAATATTTTCTAGATATATTTTTTATTCAAATCAACTAAAAACACATAAATATTGATCCCACACTTATTTATAACACAGTTTTAAAATAATTCTAAAATATTTTTAATTTCTAAATTTTAGTATATTATAATTTTTCTCTTAACTTCTATAACGGACTACAAAATTGTGAAGAAACTGTTATATGAATTTTAAAAATATATATAAATAAAATTAAGATATGATGATATATTTGGATCAATAACTAAAAAATAAAAAAATTATAAATCATAACAATAATGCATATAAACAAATAATATTAAAAGGAGTCAAGTCTACAATACTAAAATGTATAAGTTTTATATAGTATATTCTAACTAATGATAAGTATCCAATAAATAGACTAAGAAAATTTTGGAGAGGATTGTACAACTGCATAGAAAATATTAGAGTTAATAACTTAATGTTCTTTGGACTACATTCAAAAATACCTTTACAAATGTCTCATTTTTTTGTTTTTGGTAAGACATCACATATTCATGTTGAGATAGAAAATAAACCATATTGAGCATAAGATAGAGTTATGCTTACTAAAATAAATTAAGGTATTCCCCCTTATTTAGCATAAAACACATCTTTTGTCTGTTTTATGATATCTTTTTTGTAGGTTTTTCTCTTCTTTTGGAAATTATGACATAAAGTGGCCAAGTTTCTTGCGTTCATAACATAAAATTTGATTCTCATTCTTATTCTACTTTTGATATTTGAATTTGGATTTTTATATATAAAAGAGAGACCATATTCATTGTTTGACTCTTCATCGTATGGTGACTCTTCTACTTTTAAAGCTTTCATAAGTTTTATTTGTTTTGCATTTAGGACAAGATTTCTTTCTATTTTTAGTTGACTGTCTTGTTGAACTATAGGTTGTGGACTTTGAGAATTCTAAGAAATTCTTCTAATGATAAGCTTTCCAAATTCTTAGAAGTTCATAATACACTCACTTGTGGTTTCCAATGTGTAGTCAAACTTTTCAAAATTGTGTCAATATGATCATAATTTTCATTATGCTTACCTAGAGAGTGCAATTCATTTAATATAATTTGAAATTGATTAAACATACTTTGTATGTCTTCATTTTCTTTCATATTGTTAAACTAAAAGATCAAGTTTATTTTGTTTTATCATGATACATTATCATAAGAGGTCTCACATCTCTTTGATACCTTTGAATTCATGAAACTTTGTGGATTCTTTTTCTTATATGAGATACATGAGAGAGTTTATGGCCTTTGAATTCAGGAGGTATTTATGTTTGCACTTGTTTGTTCATTTGTCTATGGGAAGAGGTTCTTTTCACTATCACATGAAATATAGTTCTTGATTTCCACAACAAATCAAAGTGGTGGGATTCAAGGAACATAATCAATTTTTTTTTTCAATAATCAAACTTCACTCTTTTGAACAAAGGGGTTTATACACAAATTATTCTTCATTGTCTAGTGACTTTTGGGATCTTTCCTCTTGTATGGTAAAGAATTAACCCCGAGAAGTTAGTCTAATATAAACTAAAGAATAATTTGACTCTAAAAGGACGGTTGAATAGAGTCTATAGTTGTTTTTTTCGTAAGAACCCTGGTTAGTTATGTATGATTAAGGTAAGAAGACAAAAGAACTCAAGTTATATTGGCTCAACCTAACACTTGAACTACATCCACTATATAATCAACTTTGTTATAACCGATTATTTTTATTATGACTTTTGTCTATAGTAAGTACACCAAATCACTCTTGGTTATCCTTTTCTAATATCCCTTTAAGACTAAGAACTATAAGTATTTTTAACTTTCACTATTGGTTAGAAAGAAAAAATAGTAAAGGAGGGAAAACTCTCATGGAGAGGGTTTATAATAAGATGTATTTTACTAAGATTCTAACTTCATTAGCTGAAAGATATAACTAAGATTTTTTCTTTATTACTAGACTTTCTAATAGATGATATCTATAAGGCTTAATGAGAAGCTAGTAAGAATTTCTACTTGTGTCTTGTACATTTGTCATCATCTATCAATTATAGACTCTCAAGAATTTGACGACTATAAAAAAATTGTCTTTAATATTCTTTAAAAATAATTCTCTAATATTTTGATAGAATAATATTATTGTGATATTTCCTTGACTTTGTTCAAAAATCTTCTTTGAATATTTTGGATATAATAATACCTATTAAAAATAAACTAAAATGCAATTAAAGTATACATTCTTGATGTGAAATATTATATTACCTTTATATATATATATAATTATTTTTCTTGATATCAAATAATATATTACCTTTTAATGGATTAGCTAGTGGGGAGTTACAAAATTCATTTAATTTTGCATATTTTGATTATAAAGATGTCTTCAAATAACAACCCACGGAGACTGAAATTTTATTAGAAAAACTTATTCTGCATTATATAAAGATATTTAAGAATAAAGTTCATATATGTATAATACATTATTAATTATTATATCGTTAAACGGTTTGTTGTTTATATATATATATATATATATATATATATATATATATATATATATATATATATATATATATATATATATATATATATTTTAATGACATTTTAGTTATTGTTATTAACAATTAAAAGATAATTTATTTATTTTAGATATGTTGTTCATTTATTTCTAATTTTTTTTAAATTTTAATCTTATTTATTATCAAGAAAATATATACTATAAGGGTTGTCTAATATATCTAAATTTTATTAAAAATTTCTTAAGGATTTGTACACTCACATCAAGAGATTGAAGGAAAATGAAAATATTGATTTAGGAAGGAATGTTTCAACTTTGTTTGTTGCACTTCATATTTCAATTTCAAAAAAAATGCAAGGATCCAGACATTTTCACAATATCTTGTGTCATTGGCAGTAACAAGTTTGAAAATATAATGTTTGACCTTTGACGAGCCATTATTTTCCCGTATTTTCTTATTTTTATGTATTTGTCTTAATTGGTGTATTATGCTTAATTATCTATTATTAGTGCATTTTTATTGATTGGGCTTCATTGGACCATTATTCCGAATTTTGCTTAATTTAGCATTAATTGGTCTAATTTTCGTCTCTAATTACTTTTAGGTATTTTTGGTGAAGCAATTTTGGAGCTTGGACATTAATCTTGAGATGAAGAGAGTTTCCACATCATTTCTACATCATTTCCACATCATTTCCATGTCATTTAAGTGATTGGCCCAACATTTGAGGCCCAGAATGACATTTTTGTAATTATGGAGTGCTGAGATGAGGGGAATACGGGAGAAAGTTTCATTTTTAGGAGAGGGGGCTTCTTCTAAACACTCAATTCTCCATTTTTGTCGTTTGGGAAGCTCTCCATGGTGCCACCACTTAGGTTTTACGTTTTCATTCTTGGATAGACTCCATTTTCATGTTTTCTTCTCATTTTCAGCTTGGAACAACTTGGTATTCTATATTGACGCTTGGAACCGTGCCCATTTGGGGTTTTTCAATTTTTCTGCATATTTGGATCTTTGAGTTTCGATTTCCAGTTCTTTCATATATATGATGAAGCCTTTTCGTTCATTTTTGTAGTTGCAGTTCATTTCCATGGCTAGCTAAACTTTGAGTATTGATTCCTTAGGAGAATGTGATGAACCCTTGAGATTTTTGTGTTATGTAGCGTTTATGCCATGTCCCGTTTTGGTCTTCATGTAATTACTTTGTGCTCGATGTATGGATCACAAATTTGATGTATGCTTAATCTTATATTTGTGTTCTTGCATTTAAACAGCGCTTGTTCATGCTTAATGGATGTGGCTTGCTACATGGTTGCTTAATCTGTGGCACCAAGGTTGAATGATGTATGCTTGCTTAATGCATATTGGACTCATTTTTAGTCTTCGCTTAGTTGTCTAATTTTGGGTTTCAAGATTGAACAGGGCATTCATTTTGGTAATCTGTGATAGGGTGGATTTACATTTGAATTAAGGAATCAATATGTTTTCAATCTTTGCTTTTTTGTCACTGTTGCTATTTTGTAGAATTTAAATTGTGTCTATCTGTTTAATCTACAAACCAACCCCCCCTTCATTGTTTTGTCTGTTTGATGTGTGAATCTTTGATTGAAACTAATGGTCCTTGAGAGACGACCTAGGAGTCACTTCCTAGTACTACATTTATTTGCATTTATTTGACTGAGTACGGTACCGATCAAATTTGGCGCCGTTTTCGGGGACTCATTGGTTTCTGTCAAAGGTGGTGTGTTGTGTTGTGTTATGTAATAGAGTGTTTGGTTCTATTGAGTCTGCATAATTCGTATCAGTCAAAGTCTGCATAAATCGTATCGGTCAGTGTCTGCATAATTCAAATTTTGTTTACTTTAGTTTAGGGTAGTTCATTTGTGCAATTTTGTATCCTATCTTGTTGTGTAGCAATAGTTGAGTTAGTGT